TCTCTCTCTTTTCTCTCTCTCTCTCTCTCTTCTCTCTCTCTCTCTTTTCTCTCTCACTCTCTCCCTTCTCTCTCTCTCTCTCTCTCTCTCTCGCCCTTCTGCAGGCTATCTACGACCATTAAAACCAAGGCAATAAGAAGCCATGATAACCCGCATTCACCCTCTCTCTCTCTCTCTCACCTCTGCAGGCCATCTACGACATGCTGGGAGCCGAGGTGACTCAGCAGCAGGACACGCCCGAGGCGCGCGCCAAGATGATCTTTGAGCGCATGGATGAGAACGGCGACGGACGACTAGAGGAGGACGAGTTCACGAAAGGTTGCCTAGGCGACGAGGATCTATACAAGATACTGACGGCCAGTTAAGAGCCGCGCGTGCGAGCGCGCGTTTGTAGGCGGCGCCGCGTGTCGCTGCGAGCGAGGAGCGCCGCCATCTTGGCGGACGCGATGCTAGCGCCACTCGACGGGATTTTTTTTGCCGCCGGGATTTCTCCTCAAGAAAAGAAAGAAGGGAAGGAAGTAAAGAGAGGGAGAAGGGAAGGGAGATATAGGGGGTACGGAGAGGGAGGGAGAGATAGGGGAAGGGAGAGAACGAGAGAGAGAGGGAAAGGGAGAGGTTTCCGAGACTAGCGTTGCAGACAAGGGGAACAGGTAATCTCGGCCGTACTTGTGACTGTGGTGATGTCGCGCGCTCGCGCCCCCCCCTCCCTGTATTTGTCACTATCCGTGTCATCCCCCGCTCATCATGTGGGGGGGGTGTCCCACTCTCGTTCGCGCGGTTCCCTCGGTCGATGCCGCAGTGCCATCTATCCGTGGCTTATCTACTTATTTAGGTACTTTGTACTACTTTGTAGGCTCGTGTAGTATCGGTTCGTTCGTTACCGGAAAAGCTTTTTAACTTTTGTGATTAAGGTCTTGTAATCGCTTTGCGCGCGTGTCAGCGATGTCTATCTTACTATCGGGGGTGGGGGGGTTAATTTAACTGAGAATTTTTTTCGGATTAGTCTGCGAGAGATATATGGATACATTAGATTATATATTACCGGTTTGTCATTTCGAATTTTATGTAATCACTTCACATAGTGCTGCATGCATCTCCAGTTTTACGTCGGACGTATGCTATTCCTTCGTAAATGAGTCATTATTTCACAATTATCGGGAAATAACGGTTGTCGTGCCTGTAGATTAAATTTATCCGTAGAACTGGATGCATGTGTTTTATATGCGCACGCGTGTGAAAAACCTTTCAAACTATAAATTTAATAATAAAATGATGTCGAAGCGTCAGAGTTTCACATTTCTCCCACCAGGTGGCTGTGATACGATCTTAGTATCTGTAGTGTCATTGGCTTGCCTTCCGTTAGGGTTGAGCCTTGAAGCTGTCGACATGTTCGTTCATGTTTTATGCTGTGACGGCACAGTTTGGTACCAAGCGAGGAACAAACTTCTTTTGTAAATTAAGTACGAACCTTTAGGATTGTACTTGTTTGCATTCGGTTGGACGTCTCTCCGCATTAAACTGTATGTGCATGTGCTGTTGTACGACTTTCTTTGTGACTAGCAACCTCTCTCTATATATATAAATATAAATCGAAAAGTATTTCGTTTGCATATATATATATATATATATATATATATATTCCAGATTTACTCCTTATGGTAATGGCATACAAACGGCTCTGGTATGGGAAATAATCTGAATAGTACACTATATTTGACACCACGTTATCAGATCACTATGTTATTACATATGTGTAAGATCATAACGTGACCTATCAGTCCTGCTGTTTCATTCTCAATTTAATTATATTATTTTAATTATATTTATTGGTGGCATGATTTTTTATTCATACTATTAATCCCGATTTTTCTTCCAACAACCACACTCTGCCCCTTACTGTTTTGCTCTCGTCTCTCCCTCTCTATTCCTTTCATCCCTCTCCTTCTTTCCATATTTCTCTCCTCTTATCCCCCCCCCATCGTTCTCTCCCTGTTTGGTTCTCCCACTTCCCCCTCCCTTGCTATACATATAGTGGTGAAAGTGGTGTGTTATGCTAGAACATTTTTATATTATAGATATCGTGAATTTATTCGACTTCAATATAAGATGTATTATTATTGTTTATATATATATATATATATATATACATATATACATATATATTATACATACAATTGGTACTATAGATTGGCACACATTCCATGCATTGTGTATATTATCACCGGTTTGCATATATTATAATTATACGAATCTCGGGGCATTCGATCCACATTCGATCCGTCGTTTGCTATGCAATCAGAAAGTCTGGTACTCTTAGCTTCGTGGCCACCCACCCTTGCACGTGCGAGAAACAACCACCACGTCGAGGGGCGCGTGTATAGCCTCAACTCACTATTAACCAGCTCAATTAAAATTCTCCACGTTTAAACGTTTGATCTTAGCGCGAAAAGCGGCAAAATACGACTTTGAATAAAAAAACGGGTGAGGGCAGGCAACGTCGCGTATCTAGTGCGGATCGTTTTTTAAGAACTCGAAACGGAATCCACCGTACGGATCGTACATGTCGATTACACGTGGATATTTCAGAGACGGGTAGTGTTGCCTTATACGGTATCTGGCGGTCTCCGCTTGTCAAAGGTCAAAGGTCAAGGTCATTACTGATCGACCACGAGGTCCCGCGTATTTTCTCTCTTTTTTTTGTATTCGATGTCATGCGTCTAGCTTTGTACAACAAGGAAGTCACGTGTCTCCCGTCGTCGTCGTCGTCGTCGTCGTCGTCGTCGTCGTCGTCGTCGTCGTCGTATGTCGCATTTAACTCATTTGTCGTTTTGTACACTTCGCGTGTCTAACGTAACTGCCGTGACATACCCACCCTTCCGTTTTTGACTGCGTGCGCTGGTAGACCAATTATCTCTCTATTATGCTAACTATATACTGTTAGCAGTATATATACTGTTAGTATTATAGAGATCAGCGTGCGAGACGTGAAGGTTTACGAACTAGACGACAGCGCCATCTCTAGGGGAACTTCATCATGAATATCACTCGCGGCAAAAGGGAGAAGCGCTTGGTTGTGATGTAGTCAAACTTATAATGCGCTGCTCTTCGTCTCTCTCGAAATGCTCGAACGAAAAAAATATATTAAAAAACATTAAACCCCACCCAAATAAAATTTAATCTTTCACACATGAGGAGCGCTCGCTCACTACTAATATTTACTACCCGTTGGTATGCTAACTAACCATCCCTGGACCGTTGACAGGGCCTTCGATGCATCATGTTCCTATCGTATCTTCTTATCAAGACCGCATGAATGTTGCTGTTGATAATATCGGACCAGTTTTGTGTGACAAGGTCGACTGTGACAAGCTCTCGTTGGTTGCGGTGACCTTCACTCTTGTAATCGTGGCGTGTGTGTGAATGACGTTTTTTTTCTTCTTTCTCCAATCTGTAATACCTGTATAAGCGCTATTGCAATAAAAAAAAAATCGCAAACCGTTGCTTGTCCTTACGTCGGTCGTTTGCTGCGTTGAGTCTTTTGATGTTGTTGTTTTTTAGTTTTGTTACTGTGTACTGACTGACACCTTGCACGCGTACGAGCGCACTCGTAATCACATCGGTGCACACATGTAAAATTATACGCGCGCACATACACACGTACACATAGATATCGACTTTATTCATGGGGATTGGGACACAAACGAGTGATAATGCACTGAAGAAAAAACACCAGATAAGAACCAGTGCCCATGCAGTGGTCACATCCTAGAAATAACATACCTAGTTAAGTTGTATAATATGCTTATAATATAATATATATAATAAAATAGTATGATATATCGGTCTCTCTCTCCGTGCATGTATATTAGCCACATGAACGCGTTACAAACTTCCCACCACCACCACCACTCCCCCACCCACATATCCCGCTGATCCTTCTCCCGTATGAAGACATATATATATATATATATAGAGAGAGAGATATATATATATATATAGAGAGAGAGAGAGAGAGATATATATATATATATAGAGAGAGAGAGAGAGATTCCAATGGTTGTTTATGAACTCGTGTGTCGAGAGTGCTCAATACTACCATGAGTAGAGCAAATATAGATAAAGTTATACGGACACGGTAGAAATTTTGACTCTGTTTATTGCATACAGAACTGTTTCGTGTGGAGCCGTGTCTGTATATCTTGATCTCTCTTTCTCTCTCTCTCTCCCTCTCTCTCTCTCTCTCTCTCTCTCTNTCTCCAGAAAAAGGGTTGTATATACTGTCACCAGTCTATATTTCATCAGTATTTGTGGGTGGGGGAGGGGGGGTTAGTAAAGTCCATGGTTAGTTACGTCACCGTGGGGCGACCCCGTGAAGGCAATTACGCTTGATGTCTGATTGCTCGGTGACAATTCTAGCGAGCGGCTGGATAATGACAACAACAACCGTCCTGTCGAGCGCACACGCACACGTGTCGAGCTGAAAGCGGTGACAGTAGCAGTAGCAGCGAGAGACCACGACCACCTGCGGTTCAAGGCGCTATATATATATATATNTGTGTGCGTGTGTGCGTGTGTGTGTGTCTGTGTGTGTGTGTGTGTGTGTGTGTGTGTGTGCGTGTGTGTGTGTCTGTGTGTGTGTGTGTGTACGTACGTGCGCGAGTGTGCGCGTGTTTGTATGTGTGCGTGTGTGCGTACGTACGTGCGCGAGTGTGCGCGTGTTTGTATGTGCGCGTGCGAGTGTGTGCGCGCGTGTGTCTGTGCGTGCGTGCGCGCGCGTGTACGCTGTGTAGGGTCGCGTGTAGCGGTGACATACCTCCCCTCTATCTCTCACACTCGCAGCGTTTCCGTCACGTCAAAGGTCGCCTTCTATAGAACCTAGACGGCTTCCACCGTCGTTTCGCTCAAACATGGCTAATGTAGGTTTGCATAATATATGAATATGGAATTTTAAAACTTAGATCATCTCGAACCCGATTACAATTATCGTTGTGTTTTAACGCCGATGGCCTTTCAATGACATTTCACGCTGTCTATATATGCGCGCATCCGTCCGTTCGACTGTCTGTTCACGGACGTTTCGCTTTATCTCGCGAAAGATTTTTTTTCGCAGAGTTTGTGACGTGCCATGTTACATCACTTTCTCATCTCGTTTTCGTTTCGCATAGTTCTAACTATAACCACAGTGCAGGCAATTCTGTCCATAGAGACATCTGCCAAAGATAGCATCTACCTAAAGTTAGAAATCGCCGAGACTATTTTGAAAGATCGTTTTAACGTTGCGAAGTTTGTGAGTATGAGTTTGCGGTTTCGACTTTATATGTTTATATACGCTAACAGATTGTCGTGATGTCGCGAATTAGCGTAAAAGATTTCTGAACGAAAATAACTTTCATCGCGGAAATGACGCGTCATGATCATCTATCTTACTGTACGATTTTTAGAGAAAGTGTGTGTGTGTGTGCGTGTGCGTGTGCGTGTGCGTGCTGTGCTGCGTCGCTGCGTGTGCGTGGTGCCTGTAGTGCTGGCGCGTGTGCGGTGCCCCGGGCGTGCGGCGTGTGTGATTTTTAGAGAAGTGTGTGTGTGTGTGTGTGTGTGTGTGTGTGTGTGTGTGTGTGTGTGTGTGCTGTGTGCGGCGTTGCGGTGCGTGCTGTGTGTCGTGATTTTTAGAGAAGTGTGTGTGTGTGGGAGGCTGTGTGTGGTGTGTGCTGTGTGTGTGGTGTGTGTGTGTGTGTGTGTATACGTGGATAATTTATTCTCTCCACCGAGTTTGCTCGAAATCGATGTACGCTAATGTAAATGTAAATGCAGGGTGTTGGCAACGCACCGCTTGTGTGTCTTTTTTGCGCCCTCAATAGGAAGTAATTGAAAGGACGTTTTTTGCGTGGGCTTTTCAGAAATAGGCAGTCGTTCGAAATTCATCAATAGACATTACCTATATTATATATATAATATATAACAGTTATATATTATATATATATTATATATATATATTATGTGTGTGTGTGTAGTGTGAGAAGAGAGGGAGTGTTTTTTGCGTGCTGCTTTTTCCGAAAATGAGGCAGTTGTTCGAAATTCGTCAAATAAGTAACTACTATATTTATTATATATATGTCGTGGTGTGTGTGTCGCTGTGCGTGCTGTGCGTGGGTGTGTGGGACGAGAGAGAGAGGAGAGAGAGAGAGATGAGAGAGAGAGAAGAGAGGAGAGAGAGAAACATACATGATGCATGTTGCGCGTGTTTCAGCCTATCACTCACGTGTCGTGACGTATTTAGACAAATCATGATTTCCTTGTCTCGGCGTGGCGTAGGACATTGGTTGAGATCGACGTGACGTCAACCGCGTCTGGCGTGACGTCACCGCCGTCTGGGCGTCGCGTCGGCTGCTGAGACGCGTAATGGAAATACAAGCTCTATAATCGCTCATTATAATTATATTCATCATTTCGCTACGATTACCTCACTATTTACTTCATAACCGCAAGATCAAGATCAAACTGTTTATTTGCTGCATAAGATTATACATAAATAACGCGTACAGTCGTTCAAAAGAAATTATTACATGTAGAACAGTACATTTTATCAGTTTAAGCACGGGACAGTGCTGCGAAAGGACCGTTCAAGTCATCTAAGTCTGCCACCTCCCAAGAGTAGCATTAGGGCTAAGGAGCCGCGAGGGTCACATTGCATTGGGCATTGCATTGGGTTGGGGTTGTTATTGACTTCAGACTGCCTCTCACTCATTTCGCAGTAGCAGCGCGATATCAACGCATAAAAACATCAATACTTTCTCAAGAAAATGCTACGCGCATGCGCACGTCGATTCTAATTGCGCGTCCATATTTTGCTTACAGACCTCGCCTTCTTGTCGTGTAAGCATACTCTGTGTGGCTCTGTTTGTTTGTTACGCTGATGTGACACTGAATCGGACACGCATGCATTCGTGCATTTTCCTCGTCGCTCGCGTATGTGGTGACACAGGTGTGCAGTGTGAGAGATAGGGGCCTTGTGAGCTGAGGCGTGATGGTGTGAAAGATAGAGGAGCGTGTGGTGTGAGAGTAAGAGGCGTGTGGTGTGAGAGGATAAGCGTGTGTGACGTGCTGTGTGTGAGAGATAGAGGCGTGTGGTGTGAGAGATAGAGGCGTGTGGTGTGAGAGATAGAGGCGTGTGGTGTGAGAGATAGAGGCGTGTGGTGTGAGAGATAGAGGTTGTGCGTGTGAGAGGAGAGAGAGACGTGTGTGAGAGTAAGAGGCAGTGTGGTTGTGAGAGATAGAGGCGTGTGGTCTGAAGATAGAGGGGTGGTGTGAGAGATAGGAGGGTGTGGTGTGAGGAGATAGACGGGCGTGTGGTGTGAGAGATAGAGGCGTGTGGTGTGAGAGTAGAGGAGGGCTTGTGTGTGAGAGATAGATGCGTGTGTGTGTGAGAGATAAGAGCGGCGTGTGGTGTTGAGAGATAGAGGCGTGTGGTGTGAGAGATAGAGGCGTGTGGTGTGAGAGATAGAGGCGTGTGGTGTGAGAGATAGAGGCGTGTGGTGTGAGAGATAGAGGCGTGTGGTGTGTGAGAGATAGATGCGGTGTAGTGTGAGAGATAGAGGCGAATGTGAGGTGTGAGAGATAGATGGCGTGTGGTGTTGAGGATAGAGGCGTGTGGTGTGAGAGAGATAAGAGCGGCGTGTGGTGTGTAGAATAGAGAGGCGTGGTGTGAGAGATAGGAGGCTTGTGTGTGAGAGATTAGAGGCGTGTGGTGTGAGAGATAGAGCGTGTGGTGTGGAGTGATAGAGGGGCGTGTGTAGGGCTGTGAGGATTAGAGGCGTGTGGTTGGGAGAGATAGAGAGGCGTGTGGTATGAAAGTAGAGGCAGTGTGCGTAGTGAGAGATAGGAGAGGTGTGGTTGAGAGATAGCAGAGGCCTTTGTCCGCCGTCGGTGAGAGATGTAAGAGGCGTGTAATGTGAGAGCATAGACTGTGCTGAGGTAGTAGGCGGTGTGGGTCGCTGGTGTAGAGGCGTGTGGTGTGAGAGATAGAGGCGTGTGGTGTGAGAGATAGAGGCGTGTGGTGTGAGAGATAGAGGCGTGTGGTGCCCTGGAGAGATAGGAGCGCTCTGCGTGTGTGGTAGTGTGAGAGATAGAGGTCGATTGTGTGGTGAGGATAGAGGCGTGTGGGGGTGTGTCGAGATATAGAGGCGTGTGCTGTGAAAGATAGAGGCGTGTGCTGTGAGAGATAGAGGCGTGTGGTGTGAGAGATAGAGGCGTGTGGTTGAGAGAGATTAGAGGGTTGTGTGTGTGAGAGGATAGAGGCGTTGTGGTGTGAAAGAGTAGAGGGCTGTGGTGTGAGAGATAGAGGTGGGGTGAAGTGAGCGTGGTGGTGTGGAGAAAGGGTGTGGTGTTGGTGGGAGAGATGAGGCGCTGTTGGTGTGGGATAGAGGCCGTGTGGTAGTGGAGATAGAGGCGTGTGTGTGAGAGATAGAGGCGCGGCCTCAGTGTTGAAGTAAGCGTGTGAGATAGAGATAGAGGCGTGTTTGGTGTGAAAGACTAGAGGCGTGTGGGTGTGAGAAGATAGAGGCGTGTGGTGGTGTGAGAATAGAGGTTGGGTGGGATGGGTGGTGTGAGAGCATAGAGGCTGTTGTGGTGTGGAAGAGTGCGCGCGGTTGGAGATAGACGCGTGTGGTGGTGAGAGACAGAGGCGTGTGGTGTGAAGAGTAGAGGCGTGTGGTTGTGAGAGATAGAGAGGCGTGTGGTGTGAGAGATAGAGGCGTGTGGTGTGAGAGATAGAGGGGTGGTGGGTGGAGAGATTAGAGAGATCGTGTGTTGAGAGATAGTGTCGTGGTGTGTGAGAGAGATAGAGGGGCGTGTGGTGTGAGATAGAGGGTGTGATAGGTGTAGCAGAATAGAAGCGTGGTGATGTGAAAGAGATAGGCGTTGTGGTATTGATAAGAGATAGAGCGGTGTGCTGTGAAAGAGATAGAATGCGTGTGTATGAAAGAGATAGCGGCGTGTGATGTGAAAGAGATAGATGCGTGTGGTATGAAAGAGGTAGAGGCGTGTGCTGTGAAAGAGATAGATGCGTGTGGTATGAAAGAGATAGATGCGTGTGCTGTGAAAGGTTGGTTCGTGGTTAGATGGCATGCCGTGCGTAGCATCGCGGCTGTCATGTTTGCGAAAGAATTTTCAGCTTCTGTATTGATATAATTGATCTCGGTGCATTAGAATGCTGTACATATATACACACACCTACGTACGCACACAGACACGCACACACACACACACACACGACAACACCACACACACACACACCACACTCCAACACTCACACAGACGCACGCCAGCACGTACGCCACGTACGCACGCAGCATCAACACACATACACACACACACACAACACTATGTATCTCTCGCTCTCACTACATAACCGGACGTGTTGGACTTATGATGTGAACACCGCGCCCGACTAAACACCCCCTTCCCTACACCACCCCCCCAACAGCACCACTCCCGGGCTCTCATGTGCGCAGTATCTACCTACCCTACCTGACACCCCATGTCGTCACGCTGAACGCCTGTGCCTGGCGCGCCGCGCGTGCGATTCTATCTCTCCTGTCTGATTATTGCGTCGGAGCTAGGTTAGCGACGCGGTTCGTCGTCACACGCGTGTGTTCGGTCGCTGTGTTGCATTTGCGCTCGGCTCTCAGTTCGTGCGCGACGTGTGCGGGGTACGGCGTGTACGTGGCGTATCATTCGATTGCGGCGACGTAGCAGACGCAAGAGCAGACGTGTTTTAATCGTGGCGCGAGGCAGCAGCAGCAGCAACAGTAGCAGCTAGCAGGCAGCAGCCAGCAGCAGTAGAGCAGCAGCGACAACAACAGTAGCAGCAGCAGCAGCAGCAGCAGACGAATCTACGTCAGTGTGAAGCTCAGGTGTGTCGCCGTCGTTGCCGCCGCAAGGGGTCGCCACCAGCGCTAACCGTCGTCGTCGCGAGGGGTCGCCACCAGCGCTAACCATCGCCGAC